CCTGTCTTTTCAATGAAAAAGCCCTTAAAGTTAGTATGAACCAAAAAACACTCAATGTTAAAAAGCAAATGAAAGCAAAAGAATGCCAAACTGCGTAATAAAGACAATTGCAAGGAGAAAGTAAAGATATAATCATGTTAGTCTGTAGAATCAGTATGTAGAGAGATCTTTGAGATTAATTGAAAGAAAAAAAATGGCAGCATGAGTTTTCGTGCATCTGAGGAAGTAGACTGAAGTCTACAAAGGTTCATGCTACCAATTTCTTTTTTAGTCTGAAAGGTGCTACAAGTTCTCTCTACATACAATTATAAGCAGTGAGGACAGAAGTCGAACATATTAGTATGTATAGCATCCACACTGCAGAAATAATTCAGGTACACACCACTTTAACTGGCATGGCTCAATGCTATGGAATTCTGGAAACTGTAATTTTGTGAGACATTTAATCTTCTCTGTCAGAGAGCTCTGGTGCCACAACAGGCTACAATTACCAGAATTCTGTACTTTGCTTTTCCATGTATATTATTAGTATTAGTATTTATACCCTGCTCTTCAGCCAAAAGATCATCAGAGCAACTTACAAATGGTTAATTAGACATTTCCCTGCCCTCAGGCTTACAATCTAAAAAGACAAGACACAAAAGGAGAAGGGAATGGTGGTGGGGAAGGGGAATAAGTGCAGCAGATTTTTTCTCCCTCTCAAGCCTGGACCAAGGCAGATGGACTGGAGGGAATTTTGAATATGTATTTGTCAGGTTGCTTTACATTATATTATATTGGTTATATTGAGCCATGCCAGTTAAACTGGTGTCTATCTGGATTATTTCTGCAGTGCAGAAGGAGAGCTGCTAAACTTTTACATCAAACTGTTTCAGACTCAGCAATTTTGAAAATATTTAGGTGATTGGGTAGGCTAGAGACAGTGCATTCTTGTGTGTATTGTACTATATGCAAAGGGTTCTTGTTGCATCTCTGAGACTAAGGGCCAAAGCAGACAGCCTGGAAGGAGCAACCTTTAGATGCTCCAGTTGCAGTCACCCGAGGACCATGGTGACTGGACAGCCTGCTTTCAAAGTGGGCCACTGCTGTGGTCCCAAAGGGTTGCCAGCAGGAGCGGATTAAATCTGCTCCTTTTGGTGGTGGCTTTGGGCTGCCTTAGGATTCCTGGCTGTTACAAGATCCTTTTCCATACTAATATTCCAGACATGGTGTGGCTCAGTGGTTAAGACACTGACTTTGATGATTGCAAGATCAGCAGATTGGCAGTTTGAGGCCCAAGCCCCACGGGGAAGAGTGAGCTCCTGTTACTAGTCCCATTTTCTGCCAATCCAGCAGTTCAAAAGCATGTAGAAGTGCAAGTAGATAAATAGGTATCAATTTGGTGGGAAGATAA